AGGCACAGTGCATCCTCTGCAGCCCTTCTCCATTGCTCCATACCTTGGTTTCCCTACTGAGGGACTTTAGGCTCTCAGCAGAGACAGGACATTTAAGAATCCCCAGTCCTCATAATCCCTGCAAGGAGATAACCCTAACCTTGCTTTCAACCACAGTCCTTGCTCCTGCCCTTGGAGGGTCTCCTCCCAGGGTGCCCCCCAAAGTGGGGCATGGATGGTTTCTCCTCCTGTCTCTTCCCCACAGCCCCACACAGCTGGCAGCCTGTGTGGAGCAGTTGTAAGGGGGTGTCCCCAGCTCCCCCCAGCCCTACGCCTTCCCCATGAGCAGCCTCCCCAAGGAAGCCAAGAGGGTGCTGGGACAGTGAGGCAATGCCCACACCAAGGTTGTGACATCAAGGGGATGCATGGCACAGCCTTTCCCACCTCCATGCAGATGGTCCAACCCTGTCCCTAGCTATGCCAACCCTTCCATCTCCATATGCTCCTCAAGGGACTCCATCCCTCCCTGCCAGTCAGGGTCCAGGAGGGACCTTTGGGGAAGGGTTGTAGGGAGAATGGGACACCTGGGTGGCTCTTCTCCAGCCTCACAGTACTGGGCTGTGGCTCAGCTCTTCCCCAGGGAGGGAGGTCTGGAGCAGAGGGTCTCGGAGGGGGGGGTGGATCTGGGGGGTCTGCAGCAGCCGGCGGGGAGGTGGCTGGGCTCAGAGGGAAAGGCAAGCTGAGGCAATGCTGCCATCTCCTGGTCCCACCTGCCTGGCTCAGCCCCCAGTGGCATCTTACCAAGCCCAGAGCCCACCTGGAGTTCTCCCGCTGTAGCTCTGGGCTTTGGAGATGTCCACACAGACTCTGGCCTGTCCTTTAGAGGCCAGTGCCACCAACAAGAGCGTGACCTGCACCACTTCGGTGGCAATGTCCCTTGTCTCCCACAGATGTAAGGCAGGCTTCCTCCCACCTAACCGTGCCCCCCCTCACCAGCCATCCCTTCTGCCTCACAGGGCTGGAGTCCGGGTTTTGCACCATCCCTCGCGTCCCTCGCTTGGAAAAGGCCCAAGAGAACGCCTTCCCCGCAGAAGCAGAGCTGAAGCGCTCAGACTCCCTGCTCTCCTTCCGCCTGGACCTGGGGCCTTCTCTGATGAGCGAGCTCCTCCAGGTGATGAGCTTCTCTGAAACCAATGGGAGCGAGGTGGGGGAAGATGACCCAGACCTCCTGTGTGGGGAGGGGACCAAGGATGGGGTCCCTCCAGCATCAGGTGCATCCCATGGAGAGGACAAGGCAACATCCAGTTTCTGGGACCACTCTGGGCAGAGCAGCCTGTCCGGGGCCAGTTCACTGCCGGGACTGTCGGTCCATGCCAACGGAGAGGCACATGCCATCGAGGGCACTGGAGAGGACCCTGCCTGGGCTTCCAGGCCAGGGGCAGCCCCCAGAGGGACTCCGTGGCAGGGGTGCTGGAACGACTGCACCATCGAAGCGGGAGAGTTTGACCGGGCGGCCCAGGTCCTGGCCCGCCATTATGGTGGGACCAGCACCCCACGGAGCTCAGAGAAGGGTGAGGGGCCCCGGCAGGCCCGGATGCAGACCCAGTCAACTCATGGCGTTGGCAAGTGACAGGGGAGAGCCGGTACCCCGAGGCCACCTGGAACCAAGGAGAGGAGGAGGAGGAGGAGGAGGAGGAGGAGGAAGAGGAAGAGGCCAAGCTCTCCAGCCTGCAGGAGGGGTACACTGGTGCCCGGGGAGGACGCAGCAATTCCTTTGAATACGCTGATGAAGAGGAGGAGGAGGATGATGATGAAGTCAAAGTGTGAACAGCCATCCCTCCCATCACAGCCCCCCGCCAGAGATGCTGGTGCCGGGGTCTTCACCCTCCTCCTTGTCCCCCAACCTCAGGTTCCAGCGTCACCAGCAGAACCAGCGGGTGACCTCCTTGCCATGCTGGGGGCACTGAGGGGGCTGGAGGGGTCAGGAGGAGAGCCCATCTCCTCGGGGGCTTCCTGGGGCTGGGCCAGGCTGCTGCGGAGGGCCGGTGAGGGCTGTGCATTGCAGCACGGGGCATCACAGCCCTTCCCCAGCCTCACTGCTGTTAGATGCCAAAGGGACATTCCCATGTGCCAAAGAAACCCCAAACCCCTTCCTACCCCATCCCGTTCCCCCCCGGCACTCTCTCTCTCATCCCTCAGCCTGGCCCCACCAGCATGTCTGGGGACATGAGCCATCCTTGCACCAAAGCCCCCAGCCACCCTCTGTGCTGGCACAGGTGCCCTCCCAGAGATATTCCCACCAATAGCTCTGGCATGTAAGGCATGGGGCTCACCCCAGCTCCAGCTGGTGCAAGACCCTCCTGTATAGCACATCTGTCTACTGGGGAGGTCAGCTAGGGGCTTAAGGGGCAAACCCCACAGAGCTGATCTTTCTCTTTTCCCCTCCCCCCCAAAAAAGCTGTGAGCTCAGCGTTCAGGAGGTGAGAGCACACACAGAGATAATCACAGGGATCTTTCCACATGCCTCCTGCTGCTGAGCATCACTTAGGATGGCTCCTTTTCCCACCCCTGCCCCCTCACAGCAAGGAGGGGAGAAACTTCTTGGCTGGCTGGAGGGAGAGGCGTCGGGTCACCAAATTCTGCAGTTTGGGTCCTAAAAACCCCTTCCTTTCCCCCACCTCAAAACAAGGAGACTCCCACTCTGCAGCCACTCTGCCTGTGCCACCTCTCCATCCTTACTCCCTCTCCCCATTCCCAACGCACGCACCCCTCTTTCCAGCGCACCCCTTCCCAGGGGTACGTGCGGAGGATGGCTAATGCCCCTTGCCGAGCAGCCCTGGGCGATACAGCCGCCCTGGAACGAGCTGTCCCCCACGCTGCCCCGCGTGCAAACTGGCCCACACAGAAGTGCCTTTGTGCTGCGGTGTGGAGCCGAGATGCTCGGGGGCTGAGGTCACCGGAGGGACCCTCACAGGACCCCCCTTGTTCTCCTGGACAGGAGGGGGCGTGTGGTGGGGGGAGATGCTGGGCCGTGGCCACAAGGCTCCACTCCCACGCAGCTCACCCGCCGCCTGGCTGCTTCTGGCAGGCAACTTTTCAGAGCAGAATAAAGAGGCTCTGGCATGCGCACGTGTTGTACACAGGAGTGCCACTCACAGTCAGGCCATCGAGGTTACGGGCAGGCCCATCTCCCCCAGCCTCCCTGGGCGGCTGCCTTATGCTGGCCAGCAGCAGCATGCCGGGGCAGGCAGTAGCTTCAATGAGTCCTCAGCTCTGGCCACTGGCACCCAGCAGGATCAGCCTTATCACCCCTGCACCCTCCAGGGTGGGGACCCTGGCTCTCAGGACAAGCTCACCCTGCCATCCGCTTTTCAGACCGTAACACAAGCTCCAGACCAAAGACCCACATCCATGGAATATCCCTTCTGCCTCCACTCTGTATCCCATGCACTTATTATTGTCCTTATTAAAGCAGTTTTGATACTAACTTCTCCTCTGGTGCCTCCCCTCAGCTGCAGCAACCTTATCATTTTCCTTGCTATGTCTGCTGGTGCCCCAGCCACAAAATCCCATCCTCTCCACTCTCAGCAGGACTTTCCAGCACCTCTGGGATCCCTGCATTAACTAGCCCAGTACTTTGCTGCTCACGGTGGACCAGGCTCTCCATGAGATGCTCTTCTACTCTGCTGTCCTCCCACCCAGCCTAATGTGTACCTATGTTTGCTGTCACACATTGGTCTCTCACTTAAGGCTGGTGAGACACTTTTTAATTAGAGCAGTGGCATCAGATAATCAGCACTAATTGCCTGTAGTCCTGTGTGAGGGACACAGACTGGGAGGTGCTGAGCCACGTAACCCAGCCCAAACCTCACTTTCGCTGAGTAGGGTTCGGTGTGGAAATGTCAGAGTAATGGGTAACCCAGCTGGAATGTGCCAGCAGATAAGTGAGGTGAGATAAGGAGTAATGTTGGAGGAGACAACTCCTTATCGCTGTCAGGAATGCTGGCTCAGGGGCACACCTGTGCTACCTTCCCGTGCCACTACTTCAAATGGTACCACTCCTGCAGGAAGGCAAGGCACCCCTTCCTCCTGGCTGCTGGCTTCCAGAGCAGCCAAGAGGAACCCGTCAAACCCATGCCCTGAGGTTCCCAAACCTAGTATTTAATTATGTGCATTTGTGGCACCGACTGCCACATCAAATGCCACATCGCTCACGTCAATGCTTTTCTTCCCCTTCCTCCTTCCCAAAAACTCGGGTGCAGAAAGAAATGGCGCATTGTGAAGAGATTACACAACCATGCCCTGAGCAATCACACAGGGTCCTCCACCTGAACCCCACCTACAGCCTGCTTTGCCCTATCTAATATCTGTTCAGCCCCACATCCTGGTCTGACATGGAAGAACACCTGGCATTATCTAGGAGCTATTACCATCCAACAAGAGCTCCTTTCCTGTTGGTGGAAAAACCTTGGGCTTTGTCAATGTCTCGCACAGAGCCACAGCGCCAGAGATCTTACAGAAGCCAAAGCAGCTGGAGCAAGCAGCCTCCCACTGCTTGGGGTTTTATTAGAGCTAGTGGTGCCCATCAATCCAGCTTGAAGGAGGTGACTCTGAAGCCTCCCTTGATGCTCATGTAGCTGATCTTGTCATAGCTGTGCCGGTTGGGGAACTCCACTTCATGCCCATCCGGTAGTTTCACTTGGAATTTGTCTGCCAGCATTTCAATGACAATCTGGGAGAAGAGATGGGGAGGAAGGGTAGGAATTGGGGACATTAGGAGATTAGGAGGTGAGCATCCAGGTGATGTTACATGAGAGGGTCAGACCGGGTCCCTACAGCCTTAAGCAAGGTGCTGGGGGTTATGCAGGAAATGAGCAGTTGGTATCAAGGGTGTGAGCTGGTATCTAGACTATGACCTGGGGACAGAATCTCTCCTGTGGTTGTTTCAGCTACTCAGATTGTAAACTCAGAGCAATTAAACCCAAGTGTGTCTTTATACACCAGATGGCTTATATGATAGATGGCTTATATGTTCAGATACACTCTGAGCAGGGAGGAATAAACCTGACACCTCAATGCCTTCAGCAACTCACTGGGACCTGAAAAAAGGAGCTTTGCTGATAAACATGCACAGACAGACAGGATGAGAATGCATCGCTGATAACTGCAAATTAAAGGCATCCTTCCCCAAAGCTGTCACCTCTCCATCCCTTCCCCAAGAGCCAGCCATGACTGAGGAAAAGCTTTCTCTCCACAGCCACAGGAACAGGACTGCTCCTAAATGCAGCCCTGTTAACATCTCGAGACATCAGATGGGGTGAGACAGCAAGTGGGACAGCATCCCCAGCAGGAAGAGAGAGAGGACAGACTGGTAGTGTGGATCCCAAAGTAGTGAGGACAGAAGAGTTGAGGGAGAGGTTTTTGGACATTGCCCCAAACTCTGGGTTGCCTTAAAGCCTATGTTTGCATAGGAGGGAATTAGGGAGAGAAGTAAGGTAGAGAACAGCAAGATCCTCTTCTTGGAGACCCCCTTTACCTTCATATGTGCCCCTGGTGCCCCTGCTGGGCAGGTATGGGGGGCAGGAAGCACTTACAAAGCCTGAGACAGACAGGGCTCATGCAAAGTTCTCAGAGGAAGCGCTGGGGTTTTGAAGGAGGAGTGGAAATGGCAATCAGGATCAAAAACCCAGAGGATAAGGATGAGAGGTTGTTGGGAGACAGCACGAGGCATTGGATGGGACCGGGAGGATGAGGGTATGGGAATCTGCTAACCAGGGGCCTCCCCCGACCACACACCCCCACACACAACTGCATGCCAGCACAGACAGCTCACCTTGGTAGCGGAGCCCTTGGAGAAACAGAAGTGGTTATCACGATGCTCTGACTGCCAGGCGTTGGAGCACCTGGAGTTGCAGACAATGACAGAGTCATCAAAGCGGGGATTGAAGTGAAATGCCAGATCCGAGGGGCTGCAGCCAAGATTGATGCTGAAGCTGTGGGTGAACAGGAGGAAAGTCAGTCACACAGGCAGGACAGGGTCTTGGAAGACCTGAGATCCAACACATGGCTCTGCACTCAATTCCTCCGTCAGCATTGCAGGTGCTTAATGCCTCCTGCTTCCTCATTCTGCTCAGGAACCAGAGGAGTTTGCATAGTGGTGGTGTAGGGGCTCCCCTAACACTGAGCTATGCTCACACTTTTTGTCCCTGATGACTTTGGAAAATCACCTCCCTCAGCAGCCCACCTTCAGTCCTGGTAAGTCAAAGTGGTTTCTTTGTACTTACCGGTCAACATCATCGGATATCTTGCCCTTGATCTTCAGGGTGTCCCCTGTCTTCATACCCAGGTTGAAGATTTCAAATTTTTCCTAAGGCAGAAAGAAAAATAGTCTGTGGGGCTCATTCAGTCATTTCTCCCCTGCCACCACAAGTGAGAGGGTGCTGCTTGGAGAATGTGCCCTAGCCAGAACATCTACTGCTCTCAGCATGGCCAAAACCCCTCCATCCTGTAGGTCTTGCATGGGCTTCTCACTCAGCAAGGGAAGAGTGGGTTGAGTGAAGCCAGCAAGCAATAAAAGACATCAGAGAGAGAGGAGATGAAAACAGGCTTGTCCTCAGCAGAAGAAAAGGAGAGCATGATAGCAGAGGTACAAAGAGGGTTAAAGCAGAGGGCCACAACACAGAGTTTGGTGGGCAGCATCACCTGCAGCCCACGAAATGCCAGTGGTGAGAGCAGAGGTGGCTGTGGCTTGCCAGTCCCTCACTCAGCCTTGCTGAGCTGGGGATCCTGGGTGACAGATGACAAGAGCAGCAGCACTTACAGACATC